AGTATATTGCAGGCGTGAGTGGAAATATTAAAAATAGTCCCTATTGCACACTGTCCTAGATTACATTTGAATACATATGTGGCATGTAAGGTAATAATGAAGGAATTGTAGCCTTGAAGAAGAAATGCGAAATTTAAGGAAGGATAATTATATAATTTATTTCTTGGCCAGACATCAATGCTCCCAGTGAGGTTAGGAGCGCCTGGAGAGAGGCAGCAGGTAAGAAGGGACTGTGCTGTGTAGGAAGTTTAAAATCACATACACTGTATGTTTTTTATAAGTAGTCCTTTAGATTATCTAACATTGTAGCAATTATCTCTCTCCCTCATACTTTAAAAAGAAAAAAAAAAAACATTAGGAACTTTGAATCCTGAAAATTCATTGTGCTATTTACCAAAGTGAGAATTCAAATTGAATTTGAAGTGAATTTAAGGCCATAGTAGCTGAACTCAAAGCACAGCTTACTTAGAGAATTTTTCCAGTTTTATCTATTTTTAACCTAAATGGAAACTTTTGTCACATAGAAACATAGAAACATAGAAACATAGAATGTGACGGTAGATAAGAACCATTCGGCCCATCTAGTCTGCCCAATTTTCTAAAAACTTTCATTAGTCCCTAGCCTTATCTTATAGTTAGGATAGCCTTATGCCTATCCCATGCATGCTTAAACTTCTTTACTGTGTTAACCTCTACCACTTCAGCTGGAAGGCTATTCCATGCATCCACTACCCTCTCAGTAAAGTAATACTTCCTGATATTATTTTTAAACCTTTGTCCCTCTAATTTAAGACTATGTCCTCTTGTTGTGGTAGTTTTTCTTCTTTTAAATATAGTCTCCTCCTTTACTGTGTTGATTCCCTTTATATATTTAAATGTTTCTATCATATCCCCCCTGTCTCGTCTTTCCTCCAAGCTATACATGTTAAGATCCTTTAACCTTTCCTGGTAAGTTTTATCCCGCAATCCATGAACCAGTTTAGTAGCCCTTCTCTGAACCCTCTCTAAGGTATCAATATCCTTCTGAAGATACGGTCTCCAATACTGTGTACAATACTCCAAGTGAGGTCTCACCAGCAGAGCCGTCTTTAACGCGGGGCAAACGGGGCAGCTGCCCCGGGCCCAGTTACTCTTGGGGGGCCCAAGGCAGCTTCCCCGTGGGCCCCGCTGCCCTCAACAATTGTTTCTCCCATGGGGCCGCCGGCCCCCACATTAAGCAGGCCACCGGGTGGGTATTGTAAGCAGGGGCCCGGTCACACACTGTAGCACTTTAACAGCACGACCGGGCCCTTTGCTTTTCGGCAGCACTGGGAGGAAGTGACGGCTGCGAGTCACTTCCTCCCACTAAGGAGAGGAGCCGCGCGGGAGACGAAGGAGGGAGCCTTTGCCAGGAGAGGCAGATCCCAACAGCCTTCAGTCTGGACACTGGGGAACCACCTTCCAAGGTAGGAAACTTGTAGGTGGGTTTAAAAGTGTAAATTTATGTCAGTATGTCTGTCTGTGTCTGTGTTTGTGTCAGTATGTCTGTCTGTGTTTGTGTTTGTGTCAGTATGTCTGTCATTGTATGTTTATGTCAGTATGTCTGTCTGTGTTTGTGTTTGTGTCAGTATGTATGTCAGTGTATGTTTATGTCAGTATGTCTGTCTGTGTTTGTGTCAGTATGTCTTTCAGTGTATGTTTGTCAGTATGCCTGTCAGTGTATGTTTGTGTCAGTATGTCTGTTAGTGTATGTGTCTGTGCTTGTGTCAGTATGTCTGTGTATGTCAGTATGTCTGTTATTGTATGTGTCTGTGTATGTCAGTATGTCTGTTATTGTATGTGTGTCAGTATGTCTGTCATTGTATGTCTTTGTGTATGTGTGTCAGTATATGTGTCTGCATATGTCAGTATGTCTGTAGTGTATGTTTCTGTGTGTGTGTCAGTATGTCTGTCAATATGTGTCTGTCAGTGTGTGTGTCAGTATGTCTGTCAGTGTATGTCTCTATGTATGTGTGTTAGTATGTCTGGCAGGGGGCAGAGTCCAGGGGCCCCAAGCAAATGGTTGCCCAGTGTCCGGTCAATATTAAAGACGGCCCTGCTCACCAGTGTTCTGTATAATGGCATGAGCACTTCCCTCTTTCTACTGCTAATACCTCTCCCTATACAACCAAGCATTCTGCTAGCATTTCCTGCTGCTCTATTACATTGTCTGCCTACCTTTAAGTCATCAGAAATAATCACCCCTAAATCCCTTTCCTCATATGTTGAGGTTAGGACTCTATCAAATATTCTGTACTCTGCCCTTGGGTTTTTACGCCCAAGATGCATTATCTTGCACTTATCCACATTAAATGTCAGTTGCCACAATTCTGACCATTTTTCTAGTTTACCTAAATCATTTGTCATTTGGCTTATCCCTCCTGGAACATCAACCCTGTTACATATCTTAGTATCATCAGCAAAAGACATACCTTACCATCAAGACCTTCTGCAATATCACTAATAAAAATATTAAAGAGAATGGGTCCAAGTACAGATCCCTGAGGTACCCCACTGGTGACAAGTCCAAGCTTCGAATATATTCCATTAACTACAACCCTCTGTTGCCTGTCACTCAGCCACTGCCTTACCCATTCAACAATATTTGAATCCAAACTTAAAGATTGCAGTTTATTGATAAGCCTTCTATGTGCAACAGTGTCAAAAGCCTTACTGAAATCTAGGTAAGCAATGTCTACTGCACCACCCTGATCTATAATTTTAGTTACCCAATCAAAAAAATCAATAAGATTAGTTTGGCATGATCTCCCTGAAGTAAACCCATGTTGTCTCTGATCTTGAAATCCATGTGTTTTTAGATGTTCATCAATCCTATCCTTTAACATGGTTTCCATCACTTTCCCCACTACTGAAGTAAGGCTTACTGGCCTATAGTTGCCCGACTCCTCCCTATTACCTTTCTTGTAAATGGGCACAACATTCGCTAACTTCCAATCTTCTGGGACTACTCCTGTTAACAATGATTGGTTAAATAAATCTGTTAATGGTTTTGCTAGTACACCACTAAGCTCTTTTAATAGCTTTGGGTGTATTCCATCAGGTCCCATTGACTTATTTGTCTTTACTTTTGACAGTTGAAATAGAACCTCTTCCTCTGTAAACTCACGTGTAATAAATGACTCATTTATCCTTTTTCTCAACTGAGGTCCCTTTCCTTCATTTTCATCTGTAAATACAGAACAAAAATATTCATTGAGGCAGTCAGCTAGACCTTTATCCTCTTCTACATACCTTCCTTCTTTTGTTTTTAATCTAACCAATCCTTGTTTTACTTTTCTTTTCTCATTTATGTATCTAAAAAATGTTTTATCCCCCTTTTTTACTGTCTGTGCTATTTTCTCTTCTGTGTGTGATTTGGAAGCTCTTATAACTTGCTTAGCCTCTTTCTGCCTAATCTTATAGATCATTTTGTCTTCCTCACTCTGGGTTTTTTTATAATTCCTAAATGCTAACTTTTTGTTTTAACTATTTTGGCCACATCTGCGGAGTACCACAGTGGTTTCTTGAATTTTTTGCTTTTACTGACAAGCCTAATGCAATTTTCTGTTGCCTTCAATAGTGCAACTTTTAAATAATCCCATTTTTCTTGGACTCCATTTAAATTGCTCCAGTCTGATAATGACTCCTCTACCCATATTCTAATTTTAGAAAAGTCTGTTTTTCTAAAGTCTAAAACTTTTGTTTTTGTGTGGTGTGACTCAGTCACTGTTCTTATATTAAACCACACTGACTCATGATCACTGGATCCTAAACTTTCACCTACAGTAACATCTGATACTAAATCTCCATTTGTTAACACTAAATCTAGTATGGCCTCTTTACGAGTTGGCTCCTCAACAACTTGTTTTAGAGACAAACCCAGTAGGGAGTTTAGAATATGTGTGCTCCTGGCACAAGTAGCTAATTTTGTTTTCCAATTTACATCAGGAAGATTAAAGTCACCCATGATGATAACTTCCCCCTTCATTGTCATTTTAGCTATTTCCTCAACTAGTAGATTATCTAACTCTTCAATTTGTCCTGGGGGCCTATAAATCACACCTACACGAGTTACTGTGTGATTACCAAATTCTAACGTAGCCCAAACGGACTCTATGTTTGCCTCACTAACTTTTATTAGGCTAGATTTTATGCTATCCTTCACATACAAGGCCACCCCTCCCCCTTTCTTGCCTTCCCTATCTTTCCTATATAAAGAGTACCCTGGTATTGCTATGTCCCAGTCATTTTTCTCATTGCACCATGTCTCAGTAACAGCGACTAAATCTACACTATCAGTTGCCATTATTGCCACAAGTTCATGGATCTTATTCCCTAAACTGCGAGCATTTGTAGACATGACTCTAAGCTTATCATTTTTTAACACACTTGCTACAGGCACCTTCTGTCCTTGTTTTGGGGGACAATTGGATTGATGTTTTATCACCCTTTTGCCCATGACATGCGCACAGTCGTTATTCGGCCTGTGGCATTTTTATCCCCAAAACCCCCCAAAAAACACAGACACCGTATTTCTGTTGGAAATATAAAAGTCCACAGCTTTATTTCATTATAATCAAACAAGATAACAAACTGGGGTCATTGCCGCATAATAATAATTTACTACCATCCCCCTCCGTAGAATTACAGAATTACCCCTGGCAATGACCCCATACCATAAACAATATATAACAATATAAATAACACATAATATATAACACACGGCCTACCAAAGAGGCCCCATAACTTTTTTAATGGCCTGGTCCCGCCTCGGGACCGTAGGTGGAGCGCTCCGCGACCTGTAAGGAGAAGAACATTTGGGTAGTCTGTTCATATGTCCACCTACCTGCCCTTCCTCCCTATGCTCCAATCTGTCCTCCCTTAGCCTGTCCCACCTAGCTGCCTGGCCCATCCTGGCCGTATGTGTTACGCCGCTGTCCTTGTGAACTCCTGTCTGAGGACCCAGAAGCGCTGCGCTGGTCCCTCCTTCTCCTTTCCCTGTAAACTGATCTCCGCCTACTGCACCTGCTTGCTGACGGGCTCCTCTCTCTGGCGCTCCATGCCCCATCATGCCTGGTGCTATCTCCGCGCCGTTCCCTGCTGGCGTTCTTCCGGCCTGGGGTCGCTTCTGAAGCCTTGCTGACCCTGGGAGCTGCATCCTGCGGCCCTCCCGTCCATGCCTTACCCCACTTTCCTCTGAACACAACGCTGACCCTTGTGACTGAACTCATGTTGTGAACCCAGCCCTCCCTGGGCCGACCTGTCCGTAGGGGATTCCCAGCGCTGTCCATGGCAGCCAGATTCCTCTTCTGCCACAGACCTGTTTGTGTTCCTGACCCTATAGTGTTCCTTTAATATAAATTTAAAGCAAAACAGTAATTTTTAAATATTTGTTCAAAGGTGTAAATTGTACAGAAGGGACAGTTTCCCTGTCAGCTCCTGAGGTTATCCTAGCCAAAGACAAATGACGCTACCATCTAGCAACATCTAGAAAGCCACAAGTTAGCGAGTTGTGTGCTCTAAATGAATGCTGTTCCTTTATGATAACACAAACTTAACGCAAAATGAATGCTGTTCCTTTAAGTTAACACTTTAGTGAGCTGATTCCTTGACCTTACCTTTACTTTCTTTTCTACAAAGAACATACGTACGATGAGGTCATCTAGTATTTCCATCGGTCACCTTGACATCTAGAACCAGTCTTGGCAGTTTTAAGTCTTTGAACTGTTTGGAAATATATAATACATTTTTCTTGGAAAGACAGGCAATTTTATTATTCGTGATGCTGAGACTTAGGTCGACAACTCTTTCCTGTCTGCAGCTACTGTGTATATATATTTGGCACAAGGTTGCTCAAACTGTAGCCACATTGTGCATTATGCATTATTTCAAGAGATTCCACAGCTATTAAATAATGGGAAAGACTCGTTGGATATCATTTTACACGGGTTTATGTTAAAAGGAAGTGCATAACTGGAAATAAAGTTTTGTAAATTAAAATATATAGCAGTCACACTTGCCCCAAAGATCATTGCCTTTATGTTATTCTCTTAACCGTTTAACCTCCAGAAAGGTGAATGACTCATTGCAAGGGTTTATACATCGTCATACTTATCCATACATTGAGTTACTTGGGATAATGTGGACTTTTGCAAGCCAAAGTTAATTAAGTCCCCTATTGCCTATTATGATTTTAAAAGCGATGATCACTAGTGATGTCGCGAACCGTTCGCGAACTTCCCGAATCAGTGATGTTCCGAGCCGTTCGCGGGAAGTTCGCGAACGGTTCGCGACATCACTAATGATCACACATAGTAGCAAAAAATTCCAAAGGAAGATGGCCAAAATACACAGGGTTATTCAATAAAGTGAGAATTGTCACGAATTTCAAATTTAAGGCCGAAATAGCTGAATTCGAGTTCACAACAATTCTCCGTTTGGTAAATAAACCTCTTAGAAATGTAGTTAGGGAACCATAACAACATGTATCCCAGAGGTTCCAGTCTACTAACTAAGCAGCTCGTACTGTTATTCTGGTCTGTTAAACGATTACTATCAAATATTTTTCTTGGCTCGCTTTTTTGTGATGCTATAGAAGTAGGTAGTTCCTTTTTCCAGCATAAGACCAAGCTTTAAATCAGAAGCCTCACTTGCAAATACAAAATACACACACACTCATACTAGAGCTATGGATTCATTTAATTTTGAACTGCAATTCATCAGAATTTGGGCCAGTCGGGTGATCATTCTCAAACTTCGAGCTGAAATAAAGCGAATCACAAACCAAATGGAATGTTTGGAAAAATAGCCAAACGTGTTTTGATTCATCACAGATCAAGTGAGAAGTTACCGATAGAGTGGAAAAAAAGAGGAGAAGTAAAAAAATAAATCTATGCCTATATATAAATATATTATATATCTAATAAATATGTCATATTTAAGTATATAAATACCAGGAGCCTCCTGTGTATTCTTAAAGTTCAATGAACAAAGCAGGAGATATATTTTTTTTATAGTAAACTCACTGTGCTGTGAGGTGTGTCTAGGTCTGCAGAAAACAGAAACACAAGTGATTTATCTTCTAAATGGCAGAGAATTGAGCAGCTACACTACGGTGGAATGATTTATACAAAGGATTACCATATTCACCATGTTTTCAGGGACACATATAATTTTGTCATATTTATGAAAACTCATGAAAAGCGCTGCCCTGTTATATGTATAATGCATATTCTGCAGGATTCTTCATTGCCTAATTTCTTAATCTCATACACCTTCTTCTGAATTCTACATACTATAGGGCAACCCTTTTCATGTCCTGCCTATCAATGTGTCCTTGACAATATGGTAGATATAGTAACCCTATATATACACCAAAACCACTTCATTAAGCTGAAGTTATTTTGGTGCTTAGAGTGTCCCTTTACCATTTTTGCTCTGTTACATACATTTCCAATTGAGAAAACTGTGTACAGTATCCCTGAGCCTTTCTCCTGAGCTGGTATGTGCCGGAGGATTCATAAATCACATAGATTTTACACTGTTATAATTAGCATTTATATTGAATATTCGGCAGAACTTTACAATTATAGAAAGGAGATATTTGAGCTGCTCACACAAGCTTACAATCTTTGAGGATTTGAGGTAGGCAGGTATATACTGTTTAGAGCCATGTCCTAGGACACTTACTGCTATTTTTATTGTATACAGGCATTTCCCGGCTTACGAACTCCCACTTTACGTTTTCCAGCCTTTACGAACGCAATCCGGATGCCACGCCATTTTATTTTCGCTGCCATTTTGTTTCAGCGAACCATGGATGCGGACCACGGAGAAAGCTTTGAAGCGCTGAAAATAAGAATTTGTGGCCAGGAGAAGTCAGAAAGAGTGAAGAGGAAAAAAAATTTAAGTGCATACAACAATCCTGAATTATGGGGGGAAGTCCTGATTTTAGTCACAAGAGTATTTTCTGGTGTCCACCTTTTTATAAAGTCAGAGAAAAGTAATCATCAGAATGACACAACCACGTTGGTTGTAAAGCTGGGTACATCACAAATAAAAACAATTTATTCATTGGTTTATCCCCCCACTCCTTCCTCCTGTCCCCAACGTTGGCAGGTACTGTATGTAAAGTGTAAAAAATGGTTTGTGTGTGTATGTGTGTCTGAGATTGATGTGAGTGTGTTTGGAACGATAATTATGCCTGGAATTATACTGTACAGTACTACTGCTATAGGTACTGTACTGACTGCAGACTCTGCAGGGGGTTCCAATGATTATTTAGAGTTTATTACTGTAACGTTATTTTATGGGCATGTCAGGATTCATACCAGGTACTCTACTGATTGCAGACTCTGCAGGGTGTTCCAATGATTTAATATTTAGAGTTATTATGGGCATTATGGGTATGTCAGGATGCATTAGATAGATATTAGATTTATTTTTTATGTTTTAGTCAGACAGATCTGGAAATGTAAGCCTGGTAGTGTCTGTCATTTAGGCAGTCTAGCCATATGAAGTGTGTGTCTGACACAGGGCCGGACTGGCCCACCGGGATACCGGGAAAATAGGTGCCACCGGGTGGCCGGTCCGGTGGCACTCAGAGGGGGCCGGCCGGGTTCCTGGCTGGAGCCGCCTGGCCGGGTGGCGGCTTCCCCGGTCCGGCGGTCCTGCTCCTGTCACTGGCTGCTGTGGCTGCTGATGGCTGAAGGAGGAGGAGCCTGTCTCTGTACCATGCTCCCTCGCGGTTCCTGTGCTGGGAATTGTGGGAACGGCGAGGGAGCATGGTACAGGGACAGGCTCCTCCTCCTTCAGCCATCAGCAGCCACAGCAGCCAGTGACAGGAGCAGGGCCGCCGGACCGGGGAAGCGGCCACCTGACCCGGGGGTTCCAGCCAGGAACCCGGCCAGCCCCCTCTGACTTCTAAGGTAAAGGGAATGAAACAGAGAATAGGGGGAATGAAACAGAGAGGAATAAGGGTACGAAACAGAGAGGGAATGGGGAATGAAACAGAGAGGAATGGGGAATAAAACTGAGAGGAATGGGGGTAATGAAACAAAGAGGGGAATGGGGGGAGAATGAAACAGAGGGTAGGGGAATGAAACAGAGGAATAGTAATGAAACAGAGAGGGAATGGGGAATGAAACAGAGAGGAATGGGGGAAATGGAAACAGAGAGTGGAATGGGGGGATGAAACAGAGAGGAATGGGGGGAATGAAACAGAGAGGGGAATAGGGGGGAATGAAACATAGAGGGGAATGTGGGGGATGAAACAGAGAGGGGAATAGGGGGGGAATGAAACAGAGAGGAATAGGGAGGGGAATGAAGCAAAGAGGGGAATGTGGGGGATGAAACAGAGAGGGGAATAGGGGGGGGAATGAAACAGAGAGGAATAGGGAGGGGAATGAAACAAAGAACCACTGCTCCTATACCCTACTACAGCCCCATATCCCAGCAGACTCCAGGTAAGTTGTCAAACTGTTCTTAAATGGTTTGACTACTTACTCTGGGAGGGGGTGCCGACACTCCTGGCACCATAACCACTACACAGAGGAGTAGTGGTTATTGTGCATGGAATATTTCTTTAAATAATCTACAAGTGCCCCTCCCGGGCTCAGGCTCTGGATCCGTCACTGGTATATGACATGTATATTAATGTGTATATTAGTTATATATATATATATATATATATATATATATATTATATTTACACATATTAATGTACATTTATATATGCATAATACACAGAGGAATGTCATTTATATGTACCATATGTAATTAGCAGATATTGGCCCAGTCTTGTTGCTAGGTGCATACTCCAGCACAGTAACATTTTTAAAGTGAAGAGCACACCCACAGGACTTCAAAATAAACATATTTTTTACAGTTGTGCCCTACATACATTCACCATTTCAGTCCCATTAACAAGCTTTCCTTAATATGTCAAGGTAGTTGGACTGAAACATTGATTACATGCAAAGGCACGTCTGCTTAAAATAAATCTGCACTTTTGTTTATTTTGAAGCCTATGAGTGCGCTTTTTACGTTGAAGTACTTTTTAATTTTAAGTTATCTGTTCTAACTCTGTATCTGCACACTATGCTGGCGCCACGCATTATGGGGCTGGTAAATATTTTTTTTCCAGGGCTGCTTTTAATTCCCAGTCCGGCCCTGGTCTGACATTGTGCCATATTTTGGCAGGCAACAT